GACGGGAACAAGTTGCATGTCTTCATGAACCATTGAAATTTATTTTGTAAGCAGAGGAATTCTAGTGAGAGAATTTGCCTTTCAGCTGCAGAAAAGATTTATGTAGGAAGCTTTACGGAAAAGAGGAGATATAATGATTGTATTCTAGTCGTATATTTTTTGTTCTTCAAGTGCACACAAGATGTTACCCACTGATCCCTTTGATACGCTAATAACTGTTACCACCCATAGCTCCCTGTGGATATTGCACTCTGTAAGGGAGTTATCCCTTGAAGTCAACAAGAGTAATTGCGTGCCTACTGGTGGCAGGATTTGTCTAAAACAACCAGACAACCCAGATGAAGCTGCTGCTGTAAATCTGGCAGTCCTGAAGTTTCTTGGGTAGCTTGCACCGTGTGAGCACTAAGGCAGTGCTGTGGTGGGAATGTTTTTGTAACTGCCCAGTGACTGCCTGTTGGGTTCATTTGTAGCTGATGGCAGAGTACCATGGAGGTTCCTGTGGAGCAGATAAATGTACAGAGAGGAAGAAATCCATTCTTTAAGTTACAATGTTTAAATAAAGCCAAGGTAATGATTTAGACTTCACCCTCTCATTGAGTGTAATAGAAAAAAACATGCACATTGATAGTTTTCCCCAGTCAAGTATCCTTTTTTGGGTCCCCTTGTACGTTTGCTGAGCAGAGTAAGATATATACCAGTGGTCTGAAAATTGAAAACCTTCGATGTTCACATAAATTACAGGTCAAGTCTGTGTAGTGCATCACTGCCCTTTACAGTAAATCATATGTAAAACCAAGTTATGCCCCATTTAAATGACAAAAGAATTCTTGGACTAGACAGTTACTCTTTCCAGGAGTAGCTGAATAAAAGAAGAAAAACTAATAAATAATTAAGGAAGTAATATGTTTGACCACTTTTTTTTTGTATGACTTTTTTTCTGTTATTATTGTAAGAGAAATGCTCCTTTCAAAAACAACTAAAGCACTAATGATGGCTGAGAAAGTCATTCATAGGAGGTTGAACTGGTTTAATTAGAATTTATGAGAAGGTTACTACAAGAGTGCAGAAAGATGTTAAGGGGTTAACCTATAAGAGATTACATTGTAGTCAGTGTTCTGTTAAAGTTTGAATTAATTTTTCCCATGGGTTTTTCACATTCTAATTTTCAACTAAATGAGACATCTGTTTCAGAAAAGGAAAATTTGCTATGGTTGTCATAGCAACTATCATTCTGTAAGAAAATTATTCCAATGGTTACTTTAGAACAGAAAGATAGAAATTCAGTACATAAAGCAACATCCGATTGCTAGCACAAATTCTGATAATTGAGCCCTTTTTGAATGGTGCGTTATTTGACCTGCAAAACTTGTTCATATGTTTTTAACATAAGGTTAATTGTGATGTAAACAAATTCATTTCTGATGTATTTTCCCCCTAGAGTCTTATATGTAGACAATCATTATTCTTATAATAATAGTACTGTTGAATTTCAGAGTAAATGGAGAGATCCACACTGTTCCCTTTAAGAATATAAGATCTAAATCAAAGTACATTTCTATGAGTGCTTCACTTCAGAGGTGAAATACATTCATGATGTATATCTCTAATTGCCAAATAATTTTCTTTTTTTTTTTTTTAATAGCAGATTTTCTCTTTTAGAACATACTGTAGCATTTTCTTCCTAAAATGCAAACTATTAGTGAAACATCTATATCTATATAAACATTACACATTTCCTGAGCAAGCACTAATAAAGAGATCCAGAAATTCTGTGCTTGATATTAAGACTTCAACTTTATTTTCAGGTTTCATCATAAATGGAAATTTTAGACCAAGTTGTATATGCATGACATCCAGATTGCAGACTTGTTAGTGGTTATTAGAGAAGATTTATTTTTTCCTACCCAGAAACTTTTGCGATAAATTTTCTGAAGAAGGGACTTGGGGTTTTATAAAATCCCTGCATGCATATGAAGCTTGTTTTGCTTTGGGGGTGAGGGCACTGAAGTGCATGATTTTTCTTCCCTCTTAAATGTAAAGCACACTACCATCCCCCTCTGAATCCTTCCTGGGACTTCATATTTTTGTCAGAAATGCTCCAACCATTTCTTTCAATCTTGGGATTGTCACAAAAGACAGCATTATGGCAAATCAGGCGAGTTCGAACATTTCCCCTTCACAAAAGAACAGCTCCAGCATGCATAACTTACCAGCCTGCAGCTCAGGCGGGCGCGAGCTACAGGCACAAAGGGAGGCAGAGACAGGGGAAAGTGCTGCAGGTCTTAATAAGCAGATCATGCCTATTCATAAGGGGAAACAGGCTTTTAACAAGTGGAAACATACAGGCTAGGCCTAGGAGAGGCAGGCAGAGGCTCTCACGTTTGCATGTGCAATTCGTGGTCTTTTGGGTTTCAACAGGATTAAACTGACTGCTGATGCAACCTATTCACAATTACATCTCCTTATAAATGCTTCATTGTGTGCTTAAAATAATGGCTTGGTAGGTTTTTGACCTTTTCTTCTTTGGCAAATATTGTTCTTTCCCCTTGGCTTCTTCCAGGGGAGCAGCCTGGCTGCAGCTGGTTCTGCTGTGCCTCGCGTGCCAGCGGGTGGTGGGACAGATCCTGACCTTTTATCTCACTGAGGCCCTGGGGACCATCCTGACCTGGGCAGCGGGTGGGAGCACTGGGCTGCATTCCCTGCGTCTCTCAGTGGCTTTCAACAGCCGAAGCAGGATTTACTGCACTGACGCTTTGTTTGCGTCCTGTTTGCCCTTGTAAATATTTTCTGTCAGTGAGATTTTCCTCCTGGAAAACTTGCTCTGGACCTAAATACTCTTTGCCAAGTAGTTGAGTGTTTTCATGTTGGTGAAGGAAGCTGCTTGGCACACAAGGTTTGTAGTGCGATCCCAAGACAGGGGTGGGGAATCTGGAAAAAGCCTAACCCCTGTATGTTTCTATAAAGCCTGCCACTTCTGTGACATCTGAGCACCTTACAGACTTGTTTGCTTTATTTTCACAGTGTGTGTGTGAGAGAAAAATATTCCTGTCAGTGGTGAGCGGAACATAAAGATCTCTGATCAGACTGGGGTTTGGTCTGTATGACAGAATTACAAACCAAAGTTGTGAGCAGCTGACTGCAAAATAAGCCAGTGAACAGACCATGAGTAATTGCCTCAGCAGTAGGAAAGGGAGAAGTCATGTACCTGCGAGCCAGCTGCTGTTCCTCCTGGGAGGAAAGCCTGGATGATGAACACCTAACCAGATACATGTGGTGTAAAATGTGAAGGCAGAAGCTGGTGAAGGGCTAGGTCTTTTTCTCAGCCAGCTGCCTTGGTCTGAGCCACCTGACTCAAAACAACATTTCTGCTTCATGCTGTTAGCATCTCATCTTCACACAGCTTCACCTCACTCGTCACATCTTCTGGAGGCAGAGATATATTTCTGGTCCCAGCGGCAGATGTGCGAAGCTTCACTTTTTTTTTTTTTTTTCTGGACACCTGGTTATGCAGGGCATTGTGTGATGAGGAGCTAGGAGATGAGCTGTCTCCTAGCTGTGAACACAGAAAGCCTTCAGACACCTCTCTAGAAAGCTTGAGGCTTTTGTCGTCTCTAGAAAAAGGAAACATTTGCAAAGCCCCCTTCTCTTTTTCCCTTTACCAGAATTTTCTTCTCCCGGGTAAGCCACATCCCTTTATATTTTCACAAGCTCTGTATTTTTAAGCTGTTTTCAGGAGACGTGCTTTGCAGCATTCTAAAAGGAAAAGTAGAAAATATATCATCATGAATATTGCAGATGTGCTAATTTTTGAAACATTAGTCAAGAATCAGTAATGGAACAAGATGATTAATAGCTTTATGGGTATTTTCTTTTGTCTTTGCCATACATGATGTAATGATGTTACTATGTTAATGTTGTTATTTTTGCCTTTGCCATACATGATGTTCAGAGAATTTGTTTAAAAGATTTCTTTCTGTCTTTTGATGCAGTGAGGGAGTGTAAATCTTTCTTTAACAAAGTAACATCTCAAAGGGAAGTCTGGTTGATGTGTATGTATTTATAAACACTAAGGCTGCAATTATCATAAACCTTATTAAATCACAGCAGCCTGTTTGTTGTTCCTCAAGTATGGACATGCCCAGAACAAGTCAGTCAAAAAAATTATTAAAAAATTCCAACCTAAAACTAACCTTTCAATTTTATGGCTGAGAATTAGAGCATAGTCAGCAAAACATAATTTACCACTGTGATATAATTGCTGTGAAACACATTCTTTTAATCAACAGGATAGCAAGATACGGATAAATTGTGTTCTGATTGGCAGTGTTACAATCCCACTGCTCCACAATGACCCAGTCTATAAGTATGTTTTTAAAAATATAAATGCCCATCTGATAAGAAATCCTGAATATGTAAAGTCTTATTTAAAAGCAACTCAACACACCAGAGAACAGAAGAAAATTATATGTAGGAAAAGAAGAAGCGTTCTTTTTTTTCTGATGAGATGCTTCCCACTGGAGAAACAAACCAGCATAGGTGATGTCTCCAGCTTTTGAGTGGGCTCTGTAGCTGTGCCAGGGTCTGCCCTTGCCCAAATGACAGTAGGCTATGGGCCAAACACAATGTGAGGCAATGTGGAACACATATCCACACCTGGCTATCTGTGGCAGGTGTTCTAGATACCACAGGAGTCCAGCATGCTAATTCAAGTAGACGTCTTGGTACCTAGGTCTTGTGAGAGTTACTATTCACCTGGTTAGAGTAACTGTATGAATATTTTGTTCTGTGCTGCCTACTGAAACTCATAGGGAGACTGCACTGATTTTCCACAGTAGTTAAGTAACACTGGTTTTATGGAAAGAGGGTTTTACTGTGCACAGAAAGAAGAAAATGAATGCTATTTGTGTCTTCAAATTCCAGGCTACTAGGAAGTCAATATTTTAGTTAGATAACCAATACATGGAAGTAGCACTGAAGACATTCTCCTCCTCTCTTGGCAGGCAACCTTGGTTTTATGGCTGGGGCTTTAATCTTCCACGAGGCCAAGCGCTATTAGAGAAATGGAACCTTATTCCAGATGGGATAGATATTCTTATAACACATGGACCACCTCTCGGTAAGAAAATATTAGTGCTGTTAGCTGTGTATTTCAGATGTTTATACAGTAACTGATGGCTGTCCTTAGACAAAGAGTGGAAACCTTAGTTGTAAAAGTCAGAAATAACAACCCTACTGTTTTCAGCAGCACCAGGGCTTTGGCTTGGGTTTATGTTTCATGATTACTTACAATCAGTGGTGGGAAGTTAAATAACAGGTACAAAACTGAAGTCCTCATAAATAAAGTCTTAATAAGTTTTATAAATTAACAAGGTCCAGTTTGCCCATGTGTCCTCCCGCTCTGACAGTGGTGAAATCAGTAGACTTGAAAAAGGGAGCCTGCTTGGAGAGAAATACAGGATTAGTTTGTAGTACAGTCTTTCTCCCTCACTTGCACTAATGTCCCCCTCCAACCCAAAGTTGTATTTTCATGCTGACTTGATGAATTTCCTGTTTCACAAACCCAAATTCTGCACTAGTTGGCCCGCTCTTTGGACAGCATGGGTGAATTACTAATTTTTAACACAATCCAGCAACAGACCAGCAATAAACAGTTTTCCATTTGTATTTTACAAGGAATAATAATATAGCTCCTCATCTCCTTTGAAGAAATCCCTGTAGCTAGGGCTTGAAAATCTGGGGACTGAAGGTAGAGAGCAAGTTCTCAGCACCCAGTTTCAGGCACCGGGCTAATTTTGCCGTCTGGTTAAACCTGTATTGCTGTTGTTATTATTATTTATTATTATTATTTATTTAGTTTGAGCCATCCTCCAAGGATTTTGTTTTTTTGAAGATCCCATTTCTTTGTCTTATTGATTCATTAATAGACGGCTTCAGCACAGAACACTTTGCCTGAGGGCATCAGCTGTTGGCATCCCTGACATCCATGGTAACAAATACATTATGCTTCAAAAGAAATTAGCACTCTACCTAACTTACAGAACCTCTTTATTGTGTATCTCTGTCCACAGACATTTTGAGAAACAGGATCCTCCTTGACCCTGGGAGCCAATTATTTTCACCAGGAAGCTGATTCTTTTTGTTCTGATCTTGGACAGCATCACTAGAGCTGTTCCTAATGATCATAAAAAGCAATCAGTGTTCTTACAAATTCCTCTTACATTCCAGAATGGGTGCCTAAATTCTGTCGATCATCCATTTTCTCTGCTCCTTTTTTATTCATTCACTTCCAGACTGCATGCATACCCCTAAACTAATTAATGCTTCATTATTAGATAGTTTTAAAATTGCCTGCATGATTTAGATGCAGAAGCACCATTAAGAGTTAATGGACTTTGTGCTTCTTAGTCCCTTAAATGTGTAAAGAAAATCTGAACCACAAGTAATTTTTTTTCTGTTTTAGAGGAGTGCTTTGGGATGAAACTGCGGCAAGGAAACAGAGGTTCACACAGGATAAGGAAACAAAAATTAAACAGCTGTTATTGACCATTTTATTTTAACCTGTTTGTTATTAATAAATATATAGCATATTTTTGTAGTTTATAAAATGCAATATTCATGATCCCATGATTAGCGCTAATGCTCATTTCTAAATCAGCATATTTTTTATTAATTTTATGTATAGTGTAACTTGTAAAGTCCTTTCCTTGACTCCTAAAGGTCTGCATTTATGATTCTTTTATTTCTCTTCAAAAAGTTCACTTTTCTTTATTTGTTTTTAATTTAATTTCACCCTTAAGTCTTCATTTCTAGCTGTCTGCTTGATTGTCTGTTACAAAGATTTATACTTTCCTGACAGCTGCATAAACCTGTTTCATCTAACCAAACATTACAAAAACACAAAGATGAACTCTATTTGTTAGCTAGGTGTAATCAATTATTCTTAGTTTGTGTAGTCAGGTGTACATAATAAGCTGCTAACATACGGGAAAGCTTCAGAAGGCTGATAATGCATGTAAACAAAAACATGTTCAACATAAATAATGTTTAATTTAAGGGAGAGGTTAATTTTATGGATTTTTGTTTGTGACGTTTTTGAAGTGGAAATACTTTTGCCTTTATGTTCACCACAGACATTTTGACAATTAACTGTTTCAAATCGTTAATGTAACAAAACCTAAAGTTACAACAATTGCTTTGGAAAAAAAAATAATAAAAAAAAAAAAACACGAACTGGATTCCAGAGGAACTGCTGGCTTCACTGTGGCATCTTAAATAGTTGTTATTTCCCACATTGAATTTTGAATTGCATTGGATACCAGGAATGACAGGTAGAACTGATTAACAGAACTCAGCATTGACCTGCTGTCTGTAACTCAGACAGCTTTCTCTTTGTGCATCACCCCATCCGGAGCCAACAGTGTCTTGAGAGGCATCTGAATGAATTAGGAATCTACATCCATTACTTCCTCTTTTTGACACCTAGGATACAACTATGATAGTAGAGCAAACTTCTACCATTTTTATAAAAACCCATACTATAATGAGCCCAGTTTTCAGGCACTGGCATCTAAAGAGTTATTTCTCAATGTATGAACCTACTTTGAAACTCTAATAAACCTGAGAGCATTTCCAAGAGCTTGAATACCACGCTTTTGGTCTTTTAAGCCAGTTGGTTAGCTGCTACTTAGCCATGCTTGAGTGAATCTGAAAAGTAAACACATGAAAAGTAGGTACAGACTCTGTACCTCTCTGGCTGACTACAGTTTTTTCAAATGTACAATATATTCTAGCAACAATCATTGCAGCGATCTAAGTCAGGGATGCACAGCTATGACAGGCACAGTGAGAGTACCAGAACACACAGAATCCTAGAATCCTAGAATCATTAAGGTTGGAAAAGACCTCCAAGATCATCTGGTCCAACCATCCTCCTACTACCAATGTCACCCACTAAACCTTGTCCCTAAGCACCACATCCAACCTTTCCTTGAACACCCCCAGGGATAGTGACTCCACCTCTTCCCTAGGCAACCCATGCCAGTGCCTGACTACTCCTTCTGAGAAGAAATGTCCCCTCATTTCTAACGTAAAACTCCCCTGGCATAATTTGAAGCCATTCCCTCTAGTCCTATTGCTAGTTTCCTGTGAGAAGAGGCTGACCCCCCGCACCCCACACCTTCCTTTCAGGCAGCTGTAGAGAGCAATAAGGTCTCCCCTGAGCCTCCTCTTCTCCAGACTAAACAACCCCAGTTCCCTCAGCCACTCCTCACAGGACTTGTGTTCCAGGCCCTTCACCAGCTTCATAGCCCTTCTCTGGACATGCCCCAAGACCTTGATGTCCTTCTTGTACTGAGGGACCCCAAACTGAGCACAGTACTTGAGGTGTGACCTCACCAGAGCAGAGTACAGGGGGGCAATCACCTCCCTGGTCCTCCTGGCTACACTATTCCTGATACAAGACAGGATGCCGTTGGCCTTCTTGGCCATCTGAGCAAACTGCCAGCTCATGTTCAGGTGAGCATCGACCAACACCCCCAGATCCTTTTCCTCTGCACAGCTTTTGATCTACTCTGCCGCAAGCCTGTAGCGCTGCATGGGGTTGTTGTGGCTGAAGTGCAGGACCTGGCACTTAGCCATGTTGAACCTCATCCCATCTGCCTCTGCCCATCAATCCAACCTGTCCAGGTCTTTCTGCAGGGTGTTCCTACCTTCGGCAGATTGACACTTACCCCCAGCTTGGTGTTGTCTTCAAACTTACTGCGGGTGCACTCAATTCCCTCATCCAAATCATCAGTAAAGATATTGAAGAGGATGGGCCCCAACACCAACCCCTGGGAAACACCACTGGTGGCCGAGCACTAGCTAGATTTCACTCTGTTCAGCACCACCCTTTGGGCCCAGCCATCCAGCCAGTTTTTAACCCAGCAAAGAGTGTACCTGTCTAAGTCATGGGCTGCCAGCTTCTCCAGGAGATTACCATGGGAGACCATGTCAAAGGTCTTGCTGAAATCTGGGTAGATTACATGAACAGCATTTACCTCATCCACCATGTGGGTCACCTGGTCGTAGAAGGAGACGAAGTTGGTCAGGCAGGACTTGCCTTTCAAGAACCCATTCTGGCTGTGTCTGATCCCCCAGTAGTCCCGCATACAGTGCGTGATGCATTCAAGATGACCTGTTCCGTCACCTTTCCTGGCACCAAGGTCAGGCTGACAGGCCTGTAGCTCCCTGGTTCCTCCTTACAACCCTTCTTATAGATGAGCATCACATTAGCAAGTCTCCAGTCATCCGGGACCTCTCAGATGACCAAGACCACTGATAGATGATGGAAAGCAGCCCAGCAATTGCATCCACCAGCTCCGGTCTGGCCCCATGGACTCGTGACTGTCCAGGTGGAGCAGTAGGTCTCTTAACAGTTTCCACATGAACTGGAAACAAGTTCAGGGAGATGCCCCTAAACAAGGGGGTTTCTTCTGCTCCTTATCTCAGACTTCCAGGTCAGGAGGCTGAGTACTCTGAGGATAAGTAGTCTAGCTAGTTACAAAACAGAATAATTGTATCTTTTACGTTTCCAAATTTGAGCCTGATGAAAATGGCAGAACAATATAAAGGAAACAAGATCGGTTAATCCAAAGCATCTCATACAACATCCTTCTTATACTACTGTGAAGAAAACACCACACTTCAGTTGGCAGTAAGCATCCCCCTGCTGCATGCTTTTGGTCTCAGAAGCAAGTTGGTGTGCATTTCTGTCTATATTCATAAAAAGTGTATTTTTGTATGGATCTATGGGAGTAAATATAGCACTTAAAGCATATCTGCTGCAAAAGGGCTGAGTTTCTCTGGCTGTTTGAAGCCCTTAAGCCAGGTCTACTCGAGGATACTGTTTTTAAATACACTCTGGGTTCCTCACCTCGGTTCCACTAATGTAAGATTCGATGTGATAAAAATACAGTTTTGTCATTAGCCACACAAATTCCATTACATCAATTAAAGTGTTCAGTATTAATAACTACATCCCAGGGCTAGATTTAAACAGCTAAGTGTTGAATTAGATGCTTAATTTCAGAGACTTGCTTTGGAGACTTGCTCTTATTAAAGAGCCTCCATCTCTTAAAGGAAGAAGAATGAATAAATCATTGACTCTTCCTGCTAACAGTAGTGCAAAAATGCTTAAAATGCAGTGATTTTTTCACTTGAAAAATTATTGGCAAGAGTTACCATAGTTCTGTTTCTTCAGATGGGCTTTTAAGTTTTTCTTCAATTATTTTTCCTTGTTTCCTCTTCTACTTACCAAGGCAAACACGATTTTTTTCCATGCCTGTTTTTCTATGACTGCTTATGAGAAGTTATGTGACATTAAATCTCAGAAATATTTTTGAATGTTACAGCAGTACAGCTTTGCAGATAACGTCTTCTTTTAAAGCTTTCCTTTCTTTTCCAAAGGTTTCCTAGACTGGGTACCTAAGAAAATGCAACGGGTAGGATGTGTTGAGCTGCTGAACACAGTCCAGAGACGGGTACAGCCAAGGCTTCATGTTTTTGGACACATCCATGAAGGTTAGAAAACATTTCTTTCTGTATATATACTTAAAAACCACAACCACAGAAGCTGTCTGCTTTAACCAGTATTTTTAAAATTGAATGTTTGAACTGAAGCACTTCTGGAATTCGGATACTTATTTAGCTGCATATATACAGATGAAATTGGCTGATACTTGCCTTTCAATATTTGTATTTTAGCTTCTCTTTTAGTTTCTACATCTATAAAGTAGGGTGATGCTTCCATCACAGTGAGGATTACTGTAAATTTTAAAATAACACGAGTCCAGTAGTTGCAGAAAGGGACTAAATATTAGTATTGATGGATTGTATTTTCCCCTGCTGAATCTCTTTGATTTAGGATAATTCTTGTAAGCTCTTTGTGTCTCAGTTTCTCTTTTTGTGTGTTTGTTTGTTTGTTTTGTGTTTCTTTCTTTTTCCTAATGGGTGAGAGTGATTTGGGGGGTGCTTCTGGGGCTTAATTTTTAAGATCGGACAATAAAGGTTGTCTCTCCTTGTCAATGCCTATGTAAAATCAAGAGGGAAGTCACTTCCAACATGTGTAGAAGTGCAAGATGCTTATCCATGTATTTATTTGCTTTGTCAGGGGAAACATTTTGTAGCCAGACAAAACAAGGCAGTACTCTTGACTGTTTGAGTTTTAATTGGAAAAAATGAGTCCCCTTCACGTAATTCAGTAAATGGTGACAAATGTGATCTACTGAAGTCAGGGACTGTAGGAGTTCATCTCCAGGCAAAGGGAAAGGTAGACACTGTCACACAGAGATGTCTCTCCCATATGCATTCCATGGCAGCAAGACTTCAAGCATGCCCCCACCAAGAGAAAACACTGGGCTCTGCAGAAATGTACCCATCAGCATGTAAGCATGTATTATCAGCCGCTTAGTTCTTGGCAATGTTAACTTACTGGCAGGAAGAGGTGCTCTACAACTGCCAGCTTTCTGCTTCTGGGACTGCTCCAGACTTTGATGTAGGATATCTGTGGGTTCTCAGCAGTGTAGAAATGAACAAATGGAAAAAATGGAGTAGCTGGCACTCATATACTTCTGTTTCTATGAAGAACCATCACCCTTCCTAAAAAAATCCCACTCTGACTTGCTGCTTGGTGTTTTCACACTGCTAAGTTAAGGGTGACATTGGTTAGAAGTGTGCTGCTGTAAAATCAGTGAAGACATTCATATCTTTATTTCAGAGGGTAGGGATGAAGTCCATTCTCGTTGTGTATCTCATCTGTGGTGACTTATTAATGTGTAGGTAATGTCCAAAGTGCTGTTAAAAGCACGGAGTAAACAAACAGCGCATAGGCAGTACTTTTTCCTAACATTTTTGTGTTACAACAGACTTTGAGAATTTGTACAAGAGAGCTGGTGAATACAGTTCAAACTCATTGTCTTTTTAGAAATTGTAGGCCAAGTGAGTTGCAGGGGATGTAAGCAAACAGTTAGTGAGCCATGAAGCTTCAGGCAGGTAAACAAAATCACATCTGCTAAGACCAAGCCCAGCTTTGGCTCCCAAGGGAAAAGAATGGCACCTCCACGGAATGGTAAATCAAGTGAATTAATACAGTTGGCACCAAAGGTATCAGAACACAGAAACAAGGTACTCTTCTTGTAAACTATCATAATTTAGAGAAAACAAATGGGGAGCTGCATAGCCTATTCTGCGGTGGGATGCTAAATCTCTGCAGAGGAGAATTCCCATTGCAGACAGGCTGTGCAAACAAAGCTGTTCTTTGTAGAGAGAGAATGCATGATTTGAACAGATGAGTTCCTCCCCTGACTGAGTATAGCTACATGTGCAGCAGTCATTTACTGAACATCCATGAGGATGAGATGCTTAGATGAGATGTTTCTTCCCTATTCTCCCTCTGCACTTCTGCATCTGCCAAAAAATACCTCTACACATGGCCTTTCAACCTTGGTGGTGACAAGCAGCATGGCAGGGATTCCAGCTAAAATACTGCTGTGCCAATTTCAGCCAGTGCTTGGCAGTATGGGAAGAGTGAAAACTGTAGCATGATGAATCTTTCAGCAAAAAGAATGCATTAGCAAGCTGATTTTGTTCTCTGCAAACATGTAGCTGAGGAGACAGTCCCAGCAGCAAAGCGGGCTGTCCTCGATGCAGTTTGTGTTTTACATAGAACAATTGTTCTGTGGCAAACAGCACATGATTTAAAGAAATGAATGTGACAGGAACCTGACAGAGTTCTCTTCCCTCCCTACTTCCTAACTATAGTGTGTTTTTTCTATGGGGAGTCCAAGAGACCCTGCATTATTCAGGGTATTTTAAGGAATGAAAAATAAAGCTATTTGGCTGCTGGTTTCTTGTTCATAAATTCTGCAAGTAACAATGCTTCTGTAAGACATTAAATTACACTTGGAAAACCTGGGATCCTAGGTACCTAGGATATGAATAGCTTTAACTCAGCATAGCAATGAATATGTTTCTCTGTTAACTACATTAATGATAAGACTGAATTGTAGTACAAAAGCTTTCCACCAGGTGATTTCTCCAAAATCATGTATGTATTTCAGATTGTGACTGCATTTCTTCATATTCAGCATAATACTTGCATTTATTTCAATTTGAGTGACCAACATTAAGCTTTTTGTTTTAGTGTAATCAAGCTCATGTTTTTTTCCTAGTCATTCATGAAAAGATTTTGACAGTGGAGAGTGTGTCTAATTTTTCATAACACCATGGCAGTTAAAGGGCTTTTTCTTCACTTTTTCAAACATCATTTCACTGTATTTCTACAAAACTTAGAACTGGAAGTTTGATTTCCTGCAGATTTAGCTCTGGAATTGTTTGGCTTGGGTGCCTACCCACACATGAGATGTAGTTAATGACTTCCCCCACTAGTAAGACATTCAGGAGGTGTTTTCTCCCATGTAAAAGTTACAGTATCTTAGGATGTGAATGCACCTTGTCCATCAGAGAATGCATGACTAAAGTCTTTTTTCTCTGCCTGGGCAGGCATTTTAGAGTCTTTCCGTCAAGTCTGGCTGAAATTAGTTAGCAAGTTCAAACACATGGGAAGTGGTTCCTTCAAATCCCAACCTGGTGCACATGCACACATCCTCCCCTTAGTCATGTCATCTTTTTTCTTCATTGGTTTCTTAAAAGATGTACAACATAGCACAGAGAAAAAAGGTGGAAAAAAGAAAATAGCTCAAACACTGGTGCATTGATGACTGCAAATCTAAATGACATACAGACATTTTTTTAGTGTTGAAATTTTCTAAGCTCTCTCTTCACATCTCTTCCAAAAATGAGAAGGGTTTAAGAAAAAAGTTTTGCAAAGAAGAATATTAGTGTTTCTAAGGAGGTCTGGGGAGCAGGCTGCCAGAGATTGTAGCCACTAACCAGTGAAGGTCAATTTTGATTTTATATGATTTAAAAGATAGCAGAATATTTTACTGTGGGAAAAAGATGGTATTCATCCTGGAGACCTTCACATTTTGCATTAAGAAGAATTTTAAATGTATTCCAAGGAATATATGTGACACTCGTTGTTATACGATAAAGGTAATGGTAAAGGTAAATAATAAAAAGCAATTAATAAAGAGTGAATAATAATAGTAACCAGAGCTTTTCTTTCTTCATAGGTTATGGTGTCATGGCTGATGGAACTACTACCTATGTGAATGCATCTGTGTGCACTGTGAATTACCAGCCACTAAATCCACCTATAGTTATTGACTTACCTACTCCAAGGAACACATGATTATAATAAAGGATTTAATGTTGTGCCCAACACATTAGCAACTTTATATTGCTGGCTGAGAATCCCAATAAGGAACTATTCAACAAAGCAAAAACCTTCTTTTTTTCCTGCTATCTCTTCACAGATAAATTCAAGTGACAGAAATGGAAGATGAACACAGGCATTTTGGTGCCAGAAACAGATTAAAGACATATCGCCATTAAAATATTTGTGAACACAGCAAAGTGAATGCATTCCACATATATATACATATATATCTCTTTCAAGTAGGGACTTTTGTATATACCATACATTATATTGGACTTACTAAAAGAACAATGTCTTTCAAGGGAGTGTTTCCTGAAGAAAGTTTGAAGTTTAACATAAGTGTTTAGACTAGGATTTCCTCATTTCAGAAGTTTCCCAGTGAGCTCTTGATAACGAATGTGATGGTAAAGATGTTTTCCCTTAGTTAACATGGCATGTACAAAAGATAGTACATGAATGACCAGTCATAGGAGGAAAGCTCTTATTTCAGGTCCTCCAGGTCTTGATTCTTTGCATCTATTCAAAACCAATGCAGCAGAGGCCCTACCTAATTCACTGTACTAAAATGAAGTTCGACTACATGTGGCATTACAGATGGTAAGGGAAATGGTGCATATTGCTGGCATGCTGTAAACAGCTCAAAATTCAAGAAGGGAGACTGTGTTAAGTGCAGTATAAACTCAGGAATTTGTAACCTGGCCTCACCTGTGGGGAAAAAAAAAAGTGTAACTTTTTTCATATGCTAAGGCGATATGTGATTGTATGTAAAAAGCAAAAGCAAAAGCAAAAACAAAAACAAAAAAAAAAATGATGTTCAGTAGTGATATTCTAAATAAAACCCACTGGGACTGTTTAAAACCTGTTAACCTGTTACTGGGACATGCAACCAATGATGAGATTGCTGGTTTGAATTTGGCCCATGTCAGCTGTGATTAAATGTCATTGTGTTCAGTTTGTCCTTTGGGAAACTGTGTGGACTTAGAGGGGGGGTGTCATCCCAAAGTGGAGTTTGCGCATTCATTTTCAGACAGCTATGTAGTAGCATAAATGCAATGAGTGACGAGTACTTGCCAATGGGTACAGAGCAAGAGTCACCTCACAAAACTTATCGTTCCCATGTGCCAACTCAGAGACACTGCTGAGACAGGCCCGAGACAAAACCATTAACCCAGTTGAAATCCATCTGTTGTGTTGGGTGTTGGTATACCCATGCGAAGCAGGAGATGTGGGAGCTGCTGGGGATGGCTAACACTAGTCCTGCCCCTGCAGCTTTCCTGCAGGTTAACAGAGGTGCTGAATCTGCTGGGATTTCAGTCCAGTCCTAGGCAGAAGCTCAAGAATTGACTAAAACCCACAAAAATATGTGCTTCAAATGTGTGCTGCAACACATTTCTGCCTTGAACTAACAACCATCTCCATGCTCAAAGAGGAACCTTTTTGCCTTGATGGAGATAATGTAACTGGTGTAACCTGAACATGGACATTCTGAATTTGGTGCTGACTGCATCTATATATTAATTTTGTTTCCACACATGAGGCAAATCATTGCACTATCAATACAGGGTTGTTTGCAGGTCTGTAGATAGCCCATACCTGCACACACAGTGGTTAGATGTATGGGTTACTTTTTGCCTGATGTATGGTTATAAATGTGACCTTTGCAGCTGCATGTACATGATATACATACACAAACTTAAATACCTGTTCTACAACCCCAGACTTGCAGCCTCAACTCTTAAGCAAGATAGGCAGAAACACCACATTTTGCTGGCTTACCGCATGCGGCTGCTCTTCTGACTGATGCTGGAAGCTGTGAAATTTGAACCCAGGTACTGACCCACTGACACCAGAAAACATAGCAAGACACAGATTTTTCATTTCTTGGAGCTGTTGAGTGACTTGGATTTTCTTTTTGACTAATTTGCTGCTTTTTCCTGAAACAAAAGCAAACTGATAACCAGCAATATCCTGCAACTGTTTTGGATGAGCATGGTTTGTAGCACAAGAACAGTCTACAATGATTCAGCTGGGTCTACTTTTTGTATAATCCATTGGTGTAGAAATTGCAAGATCAGCTCCTAAATCAGCAAGGACTGAAATTTTTAGTTTAATGTGAACTCCCAGCATCATTGGGAAGATGAAGAATAGCTTGCAGTTAGAATAAAAGTGTCTTACCTAGTCACAACGCAAGCGTTTTGAAACATATGTGTTTCAAAATTGGCTGTATGTTAAAGTCTGAAATGTTTACATTCACTCATGGCACTTACACTAAAATGTTAAAAGTGGGGGAAAGAGATCCTTTTATTAGCCTCAGCAAAATTTCTGTTGACCATAAACTATTCTCTTAAAAATAATTTTGCCTAAGGTATCTTCAAAATACTGTGTATTTTTATGTGAAAAGGATATGAAAGCAGCTGTTACTTCAAAATGTCATTTAAAGTACTCGAGGTATGAAAGCTTAAAGGTTATTTAATCATTTTGGCATAACTTGATTGTTGTTGTAATTTTTGGTCAAGCATGTTAGACAAATAAAGTCTTAAAAGAAACAACATAAGGCCTCTTTATATCCACCTCATACTTTCAGCCCTGGTAATGGAGAATCTCTTCTCCAGGTGTGGGGTATTAAAGTTGGGGTGTTGAGGTAGGGGTATTAAAGCTGTCATCAGCAAGGGCTGTGGTTTAGTGAGAGGCAGCTGGCACAGGGGATGCGGTGTCCCGCAGGTGGCATGGCAATGCTTACTGTGGAAGTGACTGACAAGTCATGGGTCCTTGTCCTGCACGATTCACCAGCCTGGGGCTTCCTCACCTCCCTCAAAAGCTGCAGAGCAAACTGTATGGAGGGGATTGCTGAGAGGGGGAGCCAGCAGCTGTTTCCTGTAACTACAAAAGTTTGGCAGAGGGGATATGCCAGATGTCTTTGTGATGCGGGGAAAAACTACCAAGTGAGTACTGCAGCAGAACTGCGTGAAATAGTTGAGAACTGGGATGCTGTCCTTATCCAGAGAAGGACTATGAAGCTGGTGAAGGGCCTGGAACACAAGTCCTGTGAGGAGTGGCTGAGGGAACTGGGGTTGTTTAGTCTGGAGAAGAGGAGGCTCAGGGGAGACCTTATTGCTCTCTACAGCTGCCTGAAAGGAAGGTGTGGGGTGCGGGGGGTCAGCCTCTTCTCACAGGAAACTAGCAATAGGACTAGAGGGAATGGCTTCAAATTATGCCAGGGGAGTTTTACGTTAGAAATGAGGGGACATTTCTTCTCAGAAGGAGTAGTCAGGCACTGGCATGGGTTGCCTAGGGAAGAGGTGGAGTCACTATCCCTGGGGGTGTTCAAGGAAAGGTTGGATGTGGTGCTTAGGGACAAGGTTTAGTGGGTGACATTGGTAGTAGGAGGATGGTTGGACCAGATGATCTTGGAGGTCTTTTCCAACCTTAATGATTCTAGGATTCTATCTGGAGGATAGACCGTTTGTGCACAGGGTTGAGCCTGTATGAGCACAAACCTCACAGGGGATATTAAATGAGGTGACATTTTTATTTTAGCTGTGTGAGCACTGTCAAGGGCCTGGCCTTTTGACTCCAATCTGGTCTAACTCAGGTGAGTGAGGCCATGAAATGCAAGGTTTCCACAAGTGCAGTTTTGCAGTTGTTAACTCTATTTAAATTCATGGATGATCTTTCAAGTCATTTCTCACCCCACCTCCCCATGGTTGACCTTCACTGATATTTATCCTGGTAGCGTCACTCCCAAAGGTGTGCTGATGTGTATCAGTAATACGTGCTTTCCCATTACTAGGCAGAATTGTTACCAAGATTAATTTCAGTTCATTCTGATGAATGGACTAGGAGAGCTATGACTGCATGCCAATGAAAAAAAAAAAAAAAAAAGGCAAGATTATTTTTATCTCTCTCAGGCACATATGGCTGAGGATGTGAAATGTTCCTTGGCTACAAGGAACGAGCAAGCTGGGACTCAACACCCATCGAGCAGCTGCCTTTTTCTGTGCAGCTCCCACCCACTGCAGATGCACCCCAGCCTAGGAAGCTGGATTTAGGGTATCAGATGAAGCTGTTTGGTAGCACCTGAAGCCAGAGACACCAAAAACTACTTCAGCCTTCAAGGAGGTTGCCACAGGGAGCCAGCAAGGGAGCTGAGAGGAGGGAAGGTGAAATCCCCACCCAGCTCAGCTGGGCAATGCATGGGCACAAACTGGGCAGGAGGCATCGTTGGTCCTGTTGCACTGCTGCAGCAGGGAGCTAGAGAGGATGGGGAGAGGTAGTTTGTCTTCTCCAGTCTCTTAAGTGCTTCAGAAGAAAGAGGAACAAGCCATTCCTTAGAAGGAAATTTTTAGAATAATCTACCCATGGGGATTTCTGCCCACCTCCATTTATTCTTGTTTGTATGAGAATTTCTCTCTTAAAAACATTTATTATTGCTCACTGCTAATGTAACTCACATATAGCAAACATAACTGCAAATGTTCTTTCAGGTACATTCCCATCCCCTTCTGGAAACTCTGCATCTGAGATTTTAGAGATATTTTGGAACAGTGAGTTCCCCAGGTGATTATGCACAATGCAGTAGAACAACAGCATTTCGCTTATCCCTGTAAGAATGCTGCCATTCAGCTTTATTGACTGTCCCTTTGTTCTCTTTTTATGTGAAAAGTGTAAATAGGAGTGCTTATCTGTACCTTATATGTACACTTCATCTAGAAATTAAAATAATTTAAATTCTATCTAGACTCCATTGCTAAGCCTTTTACTTTCCCATCCCAGAAAGGCTCCTCCCTGCTTGCTGCTGTGTCCCTGGGGAGTTAGGGAGAGCCAGTGACTCCAGAGGACCTCTTGTCCCTGTGTACCAGAGCTTTGGGATACAGTTCTAGCTACATCCTCTTCATTTGCTGTTCTTCATTTCTTTGGGGTTTCATGTTAATAATGGATATTTGCAGCCCCACTGGAGGACTGTGGTGAGCTGCCTATGGCTTCAGCTGAGGTTTTCCTTCAAGAGGTGACAACTAATAATTCTACAAGCATCAGCCCTCCTTCCCAGTGTGCCCAGCCAATCATGTACCCACATGGGAATCCCTCCCTTTGTGTCTATGTAAGAATCTCTTTGTGGCCTTTCCCCTGCTTGCCCTGGCTTTGGCGGTGCCCTCTGCAGTCCTCATCTCCTCAGGCTGTGCTGGAGAGGACACCTAACCCTGGCACTGACATTTGTGCAATATCTGACCATGTCTCATCCTGCTTTGTGCTGTTTTGTGGCTGGTCCCTCACCCATGCTCCTTCTGTGGCTGCTGATCATCTTCCTTTTGTCACCGACTCTTCTGCATCCCACAGCCATTCCGTCTGTCCCCACTCCTGTGCCCTGCTCACAGCGGGGCTCCCCAAACAGCCCCCTGACATGGGTGCCGCCACCTCAGATACATTTTTGGTCTCCCCAGGGGCCAGTGTGCATCCATACATGCAAAGAAGCAGAAATCAGCTGGGGGATGATTGATTTACCCCAGGGATGTGGCCTGGAAGAGGAGGGTCCTGCGTGCTCCTGTAGGCCTCATGCCAAGGGCCATGCATGTTTGAATTTCTTGAAGGAATACATATTTACTTTAATGACAGCAGAGACATTGAGCATATTTTTTAATACTATTTTATTTCTTCATTTTGTGCATTTGAAATGTCAGGATTTACATCAGGCTTCATTTATGGAAAAAATGATGGCTTTTTGCGGCATTGCTGCAGGCAACTCCTCTGTGAAATGGGCAGGCTGATCTCATTGCCCTGAGAGGTAGCAGCTCATGGAGGGACAGGGCAGGGACCCCCTGTGACGTGTTGTGACAGTAGCTGAAACATCACCTTTTATGCCATGCGCTTGCTCTCAAAGTTAGCAACTATCTGACAGGGTTATGGCATGTGTGGTGAGTCCTGTGAGGACCAGAACATGTTGGTCTTATCACATGGACATCTGGTCTTGTCTTTTGCCAGGCAGAACCTGCAACAAGCCCAGAGCAGCACAGGCCAAGGGAGACCTTCTGCTGGGGATGACACCAGGAGGTCTCCCCAAGCTTGGCCCAGGATGAAGAACATGGATATCTCATGTTTCCCATCTGTTTGTGCAATGGATCAAATGGCACTTGGATGATCTCGCAGCTCCAAGATGCTTGGTTGATCTTGCAGCTCCAAGGTGTTCCAACCATGATGTCCATGTTCATCCAGGTGCCAGGAGGAGCAGCACCTCTGCTGTCCCTCCTTCCAACCAGTGCCCTTGGGATTTTGTGTAGGGACAACACAAAATTTGTTTTGTGCTTTTTTCCCCATGCACTTGCAACAACACCTTTTTTCCCCCACCTGTTATCCTTGCAAAGCAGTACATGATTATGTTTTTTGCTTGTTCAGAAATAAATAATAGCTCTGAAGTGTTACAAATCCTGTTTGTTTATATGGATGCCCATAACAATAATTAATCATATGTATTAACATACGGTCAAGAGACTTGTCAAAGCTGGAGCTCTTGAGTGGTAAACAGAGCTCACACAATTAGCAGTCCCTTCTCTGAGAACGCTTGAATTGATTCAATGTTTCTCCCAACACCTAAGAAAGTCAAGGAAGCGATAAATCATGAAAATACAGACAACACACTCAACAAACTGTGATGAAGACACTTCATCAACTGCCTTTAGTGTTGCATCAGTGTGTTGCATGAGACAACACTGTTTGAACTTGTTGCATTACAGCTGTAATGAGGAAGTGCTCACTAACGCTGCCCTAAACTTGAAAATACTGTGCTCTCTTCTGAGCTAGAAGTAGAGTGTTTGTTAATTACTTCCAATTCATCTGCTAGTGAGTACTTGTTATCCCTTAAAATAAAGACATCATAACTTTTAGGGTATGGATTTTAATCTAAAGCGTAGCATCTCAGCCAAACCCCCAGGCCAAGTAGACCAGAGGGGCAAAGGGTGCAATTGGCCACACTGGACAAGAAGGGTCCTGCCAGAACCAAGCATGAAGCACCCTGTGATCCTGCATCCTTTATCTGCTTTGTTAAAGCAGAGCCTTTCAACTTGCAAGAAATCAACACTTGCTAAGGGAACAAAGAAAAAAGGACAACAGCAGCAGATGGAGATCAGTTCCTCCAAACTTTGAAGCTGGTATTATCTACTAGAAACAATAAAAAGAGATCAAAGCCCAGAGATGGTAAACAACAAAACGTACGGAAGCAAATGACTTGAATGGTGCTCTCAGAAGCCACTGTGATGTTTTGTGCTCCCTATTGGCTTCATTTCTGTTTCTGAGCTAAAAAGGATAGCGTCCTTTAAAGAACATCGTTGTCTGGTTGTCCCCACACTTACGTTATTAGCAGTGGTTGTGTTCAATAATTGTGCAGTGTTGATCTAAAATTCCAGCCTCTTCGTCTGTGGAAGATCAGGCTGTCTGGAGCTGTAAGGAGATATTTCAATGAACAGAAATGTGTGAAAAGAAGTGACCACTAAATCCTCAGCCCATGCGACGTCTTTGTGTTGTCAACACATAACAGATACAAAGACTACACAGTGCAAAA